AGAAATTTAATCAAAGAAAAAAAAAAAAAAAAACTGATTCAATCCCAAACATCTTTTAATTAGATTTAATAAGATAAAATTTGAATCACAACCAAACTAATTAGTTGAATTTTTTTTTAAAAAAAATCAATTATATTAACTTAGATTATTATTTTTCTTTAAATTTCATCAAATCTAATTTACAAACATCCGTACTTAAAGTTTAACTTTGACGTGTGAAAAAAAAAAATTATATTGTTCAAATTTGACATATTCTTTTTGAATTTTATACATTATTTCATTTTTTAAATTATAAAATTATATAAAAAATTTAAGTAACAGACATAAAATATTTTTATTTTTTTAAAAAAAGAAATTAATAATGAAGTGTATATATACATGAATTATATATTTTTCATGACATATATTAAATAGTAGGCATAATTTTTTACAGTAAAATATTTTTAAATATATTATATTTAATACTATTCTCACATTTTTAAAAAAAATATTAATAGTTTTTTATTGTTTTTAAAATATTATTAAAAATATATTTAATTTGTCAATTGTTTTTAATAAATATATACAAGATAATATGTAGAATGTAAATCTTATATATAAAATTAATTTAAAATTGAAACAGATATATAGTTAAAAAAAATTAAGTATACGGATAAAAAAAGAAGAAGAGGTATTGATAGATGATTAAGACGGATATTTTTTACTAATGCTATTGTCAGTGAGTGAAGCTTCTCTTTCTCATTGCACCTTTTTTTCTCGGCCCATTAAAACAACAGTTCCGTTTAAAAACTATATGTTTTTCAATAAACGGGCTATAAGCCCAGACTACAGATACACATTCCATCTTCTAAAAAAAAAAACATTTAATCCAAAGTATACTAATAATGTGTTATTCTATTCATTAGTATTTATTATTTAAATTAGAAGTATTTATAATCGTAAAATGCATAACTCCATTTTTTTTAAGTCAGATCTTCTGATAAAGGTATTAAGTTTAAGTCTTCCAGATAATAAAAGAAAAGTGACTTAAATGAAAATTTCCGCTAAAAGTGGTATAATGTTTTTCGGATTAACATTAATTATCGATAAATTTAGTGAATCTTAACATCAATAATATGATTATATTTTTTTTTTGAATGTTAAGCATCCATTACCCTTTTAAAAGTATTTGTTGTTTAAAAAAGTGCTTGATTGTCCCTCAAAAAACGTTTTCTGATAACTATTTTTATAATTATTTTTTGGTCGCTCACCTTGAACCTTATTTAAGTTTGCATTCATATCATTATTTAAGTATGCAACTATACTATTTTTTGTTCACACATTATTCAATTAATTGAAATAAATCCTCTCGTAATTATACTGTGGTTTAAGTCTGCTTCTATTGTGTAATTAGTTAACAAATTGAGATAAAGATGCTACAAGGGTATGACTTATCAACTTTTATTTTAAAAATAATTTTTTAATTAAATATTTGAAAAATAGCGGTAATAATAATAATTTTCTAAATAAAATAATTAATATCACATTTAAAGAATAAATCTTTTTAATTTCTTGCTGATTAAAATTTTAAACATATTTAATTAAATACGTAAACTATTTCTATCAAACCATAATTAGAGTATATTTTGTTAAAAATTAAGATATTCTTCGAAGGTTAAAGATTAATCCTCTAAAATATTAAGATTCATTTAAAAGGTTAATTTCTTTGGACAAATATTTTTCTAGACAAACTAACTAAGAATCGAACACCTAATCATATACCTAAGGGACAAACATATCATTTGTATATTTATATTTAATTAATGATAATTTTTAAACCTAGAGTTAACTAATTAATACAATACAAAATACTTAAGTCTCTGTATAAAAGATGTTGTATATTTATATTTGAGATTAAAATTTATGGGTTCACAATGTAAAAAATTAGTATGTTTTTTTTTAAGCAAAAAAGATTTATTAAAAAAGAGTACAAGGGGTACTCTAACCCATATACAAATATAATAGGCAAAAGAATACTTGTAGTAACTAAAAAACACGATATCTATTTTACAGCCACAGTAACAGAAGATACGACATCTAATAAGCAATTACTAAGTGATTTACTACAGATTTCACACAAGGACAGTGTTTGAAATACCCTTGATGATGACAGTATGTGATCTCCTACAAGTATAATATTGCTCGTAGCTTAGGTACAATCAACTAAAGAATCTCACCCTATGTACTCAGATGCTCAGAAACTGAGTATATGTCCAGAAAATTTAGACAGACAGCAGGGGAACCAACCCAAATAATTATTACAAAAATCATCAAAATTATTATGGCAAAAAGTTATACACGATTAATGTAATACAGATTTATATAATTATTTAATCACAAATATCATTTGTTGAATTTTAAAAAATAAATTTAAAATATTATAACAACGATAGTTTTTATTGATTGATAATATAATTTTTTTTTACACAAAATATCACCATTAAACTCAACCATTATATGTTATTTTATTAAATTTTTTTATATATTATCATTACATATATTACCTTCTTTGAATATTTTACTAAACATCAAAATTAATATTGATTGCATATCATTACCCATTTAGTTTAACAGTACAAATTTTTTTTTTACGATTTTAACAATATAATATTATTAGACCATGTTAAGAGTGAAATTTAAATTAATTATTAACAAACTCAACAAAATTATTACACATATAAAATTTTAATTTATTATTAGTATAAATTATACTTTTTAGTAAATTTTGGTTGACAATAAAAAAAGTATTAGAAAAAAAATCTCTTACAAGTGTTCTTTTTTTTAATGATATTTAAAGGTATTTTCTTCAAATCAAAATATAAACAATAAATGAAATGTGATTCACTAAAATATAAATAAGTTTACAAATTAACATTATTAATAATTAATAATCACTTATATTCCTGATATTAAGTATGAAATAAAATATATTAAAAATAACTTTTTTATAGAAATTAATTATTATTATTATTGGTGAATACTTTGTATTAATATTATGATAAAAAATATTTAATTAACTTTTTATTTAATAATATTATTTATATAATATTTTTTTTATGTAATTCACATTTCATTTCTAAAAACTATTCAATTAAAATATTTTACGTAATTGAGATTCAATTTCTAATATGAAAAATTATTTTTTTAAAAAACAAAATCGTCAAGATTTCTTAGGGGGTATATTGGATTAGGATTTTAAAGGACTTTTTTAGTGAAAAAAAATCCTGCGAATTTTAAAAGACTTTGTAGGATTTTCATGACTTTTAAGATTTTGCAGGATTCTAGAAGACTTAAAATCAGGATTTTAATGGATTTTACAAGACTTTTAAATCTGGATTTTAATGGATTCTGTGGAATTTTGTGGAGTTTTGACATTTGATAAGATTTTAAAAAAATTTCATACATTCAAATTTAAAAAAAGTCAAAGACAAAAATAATATAAAAAATAATAATGTCTAGATAAATAATAATAATAATTCTCCATAATATTATACTCTTTTTATAGCATCCACTATCAATTGTAACAATTCATCGGAATCCTCCTTGGTCCAAGCTTCATAGTTTTCTTTCTCTTTTCCTTTTTCTTTCTCTTTTCCTTTTTCTTTATTATTTCCATGTGAATCTCCCATTTGAATTACTAAAATAATATATGTTGAAAACTAGTTATATAAATAATTATGGATAAGTGACAAAATCAATAAAATTATATTATTATTTTTAGAAGCACACTAATTATACAAGATCGAATATATCTTGGCTATCCAAATGGATCAAATATCTCAATCATTATAAAAAAAATGTAAAAACGAAAATATAGAAACAAAAGATAATTTTTTATATAAAAAAA